GGGTCAAAAATATGTTCAACAATGCTTCTGGAATCCTAGCCGCCCCAGTGAAACCTCCTTTCAAGTTCCCAAACTTTTCCAGGATACCTCTCAAAACATCAACCCTTCGACGAACACCCCCAAACTCGCACTTCATGTTCATTCTGGCCAAGGCCTCTATATTCGGTGGAGCAAACACACTGTAGCCAGTCTAGAACGATCTCCAATATTATGTCCTGATACGTCGCTGTTCTCTCAAAAGGATTGCAGAACCGTATCTAACTGATATTAAATCGATTATATAAGTAAGTGAATACTATGAATGATTAGCTTATAGATTGGGTCTATCATCATGGTCTATCCTATTACCAGTAACAGTGGATGATTGTGACAATTAATTAACCAGTCACAGTGGATTTTTCGCAAGTAAAGGCCACTTATGTAACTGATGCCAACTGGATTGCATCTGTCTCCCCAAACACTCGCGGATGTCCAAGGTCGGTCCGACCGTCCCTGTCCCTGCTGGTCCTGTGAGCTTCGAACCCGGACATCTCATGTTCCGACACAACAAGCACCTGTGTTTCCCTGTGTGCTTCCGCAGCCCCAGCCTGCAGCTTCGACGGACTGCGCCAGATCCAAGAGCTCTCCGCTGGACGGATGCATCAGCCGCAGCACGCCGGCCTGCCGCAGGCCATACGGCCAGGCCGTACGGCGGCCGCGACCAGAAAGGGTGGTGGGTCTGAGACGGGGACGTTGAGATGTTCCACCACTGTGTATTCCACTAAAGGCAAAAGAAAACAGTTAATATGCTCCACCCACCCACAAAAGTCAGGCGGAGTCAGGGAGGAACGCGAAATTGTGCGGGGTGGCACAGGAAAAGCGTTCTTTCGCAGGCATCTAATTTCCGGCTCCAGGCCGGCCTTTCCTTCACTGCCTTTGAGCCTTCTTTGTGTCGTCTGGCATCATCGATCTCCGCATCCCCAGGCCCAAAAAAATAACATGAATCCTGCTACATCTCGTAGCTTTGCCGCACCAAAAGATTGGCACCCCACAAACAATCATCATGTCACACCATGTAGCATCCTTTGTCCCAGGTGCTCGGTGCCCCCGCATCCCGGCCTGCAACTGCCGCTGCGCCGCAGTCTTGAGATCCCCCAGCGTCGCCTCGCGCTCCAGCGGGACGTCTGCCGTGCGGCCACTGGGTAGCGCCACGCGGATGCACAGCGCCATGGCTGACTCGAAGGCCCCTCTGCGGACATCGTCTCTTGTACTAGACGCATTAAGGGAAGATTCAGAGACACACCAAACGCCCTGGCCCCAAAAACGCTTCCCAAATGAAGGGGACAGCTCGGACTGTACGTGGTGGCTTCGCTAAGAAGCCTTGGATGGTTTAAGAGGCAAGCTGACAAGGCAACCCCGGGTCTGCTTCCCAAACACCCAGCCTTGCTACCTGAATCAAATGGCTGTGGGTCAAAACTGGTTGACTACCGAGAATGAACAGAATAGACTACCTAGGAGGTCAACCTACTAGTACCATGCTTTGGGGCTCCGGGCTTTTACACCGCAAGACAGTGGTCAATCTGCACTGCCACTCAGACCCACTCTGGAGATGGGGCTCCGGGTTTTGACCCACAGCCAAATCAATCATGGCACCTTTCTTGACTAGAGCGTTCCGTGCGCTCGCTCGTGATCAGAATCGGTTGCTGGGAAGGGGTTTTGACTGTGTTGAAGTGCTCACAGGTTTCTTGATGATCCCAAAAACTCTCTGCTTGGGGAGTTACCACTGTTTGGCAAGAATCTAAGAAGGATCTTCCAAGTCAGTGTGTCACCTTGACTACAACCAGTCTTTGGGCTCGAGCCATCCTTGGTTCTCAAGGGGACGCTCCTCTCCAGTCTGTCTCCCAACCCTCTTGGAAAAACCTTCAAAATGAACAGAATGGACTACGAGTTAACCCATGGACCCACCCACCAGAATTGGAATTGGCCCCACCTACCGGTCGCCCTTCCGGAACCGGTGACCCGCCGGAACCCCGTGCCCGCCTGGCTGCGCAGCAGCCGCTTCTTCCGGAGCTTCTGCGCCAGAAGCTGGTCGTAGAGCTCAGGGTACCAAAGGTAGGCACCTCAGCAGAGGTATCCTATAGGGTTATAAGGTCACTTAACCTCTCATGCCATGTTCTTGGACCAATGGGAGGTCGCTTAGGTCGCCGGCCATGGTGTGGGTCTTCTCAGGAAGAAGACCAGATCTGATGTCAACCCTCTCAAAACTCACATGAATCGGGCAAGGACACACGCGAAACTCACACTGGCCGTGGTGTTTTCACCAATGGTATCCAATGGTGTGAATGAGCAAATGTTCGTCCGCTCCCCCCAAACGTTCACCCCCACTGGCGAGTCCCGGGCTGTACGCACTGAGCCGCTGTTCCAGCCAGACCTGGCGGCCAAGTCCAAGTCCGTTTCAGATCTGGTGGACGAGCCCTCCCATCATTTCCCACCCTGATGGGAAGGAGTCATGCCGAGTTAGTCATGAGTTGCATGAGGCTTTGGAAACACCAGCAATCCAGCTTTATTTTTTGGGGGGGGGGCCTCCTGGATGGCTGACCGCTTGACCGCGGTACCTTCCGCCCACCGGTCAGTCGCAACCCGACGACGTGGACGTTGGGGCCACGCCGACACCGAGGTTCGAAGCCGAAGCCGGTGGCACCGAGCAGGTTTCGGTGATGCATACAGCTCCGAAAATCACTGTAGCTTGGTGTATGCAGCTGAAAAACACCCCAGACCCCCTCAAGAACGGACCTGGATCTGGATCTGGGTCCCAAAAGACAGTACTACATGGGGGTTAAGGACCCGGTTCCAAAGTTTCACTTGGTCCTTGGACTGGTTGGGAACAAGGAACCAATCCCCCTGGTTTCGTTCTGAAGGTTCACGATTTCTGGTCGTTGGTGTTTTGAAGCCTATTTCAAGAGCCAAAGCCTCATTTGAGGAAGGTCCTGCCATCTGCCCATCCAATGGTCCTTTGAGGAATCTGCCATCCAAGAGTCAGATCATGGGTTCCACTGACAGGCCCGGTGAAATCATGGAACCACTCGGGAATTCTCCCTGTCAAGTCTGGATCAAGGTGATGCCATTATGGATCAAAACTAAACCCATCCAGGAAAGGGTCAAAACCTGAAAACGACCAACCGCCCAAGCCCAGCATCTTTGGGGTGAACGGGTGGAGACCCGTCAGCATCATGCGCACTGCGCACACGACCATCTGGATAGATCGGAATACGACCGCGCCTTCCAGGAAGACATCCAGCACAGCACCAGCCAGACCCGATGCCTCACGCCGGGCCTGCGCCAAACCGGGCGACACCCCGGGGATGGAAACGGCTCGGTTCACGAGCCAGAACTCGAGCGGAGACTGCGCGGGCCACGCGCGCGGCCCGAGCTCGAGTGATTCGGTGGCTCTGCGAGGTGCTTTTTCCCCAAGAGAGTGATTCCAGAGGTGCTTGAGGCCTAAAACGGTCGAGACCTTGGAAACTTGCAAACCTCAACAGTCCTCTTACATGTACACGTGCTCCTCGCACCTCTTTCCCCACTGGAGGACCTAAGACCTCCTTTTTCTGACCATCAAAGCAGTCTTCGGATGTCTTTGAGTCATGTGTGGCTTGTCACGCATGTGCCTCAACATGTCAGTGAACTTTGACCTGAAGTTTCATAGTGGTTCCCGAAACTAGAAATTGCATGCACCTTTTAATACTTAAAGTGAGGTACAGTAAACTGCTTTGGTGTCCCTATAGGTACTTTGAAAATCTTTGAAACCTTCCAAGACTTGCGCACACTGTCACATCCAAAACCTTCCCTACCAACTCATGATCTTCAAACATCTTGTGTACATATATATATATATATTTATTATTATATTATATTATAATCCGATCCCCCCGCCAAATGCCAAAGGCAAGCTCCAACTGTAGAAACTTCTGGTGTAGGCTTCACTCTCTTCTCCACTCAAAGGTCGCTCACACAACTCATCCACCCACCAGGCGGTCGACGGGGAATTCTCCGAGTGCGACCAGTCCGAGTTTGGTCAACCCGAGACCTTGGATCCTCACAGCCCAGCCTCTGTAGGCGGCCCCTGCTGAGATAGAGCCTGGCAGAACTTGTTGAAGAATTAGTTGGGATGGCCTTCTCCTATTATGTAGGAAACCTGCACTATCACACTCTCCCAGTTGTTACCTTGAAAAAGCACCACCCCTAACACGATGGTCGGACCCAAACAAAGACCATGTCCACTTGGTCTGAACGTCTTCCCCATCCGAGCTCATCCATCTCTGTCGAGTCTTCCAAACCCCCGACGGCCTGAGCGCTTCAGGCCCCAGGAACATGGCCACCGAGCACTGCTAGGTCGCTAGCCGGGTGCTGTTGCTTTGCATCGTGGGGCCCGCAGGGTCTCGGTCCACGTCGCGGCTGACTCTGCTACGAGGTGCGTGCCTCTGCTACGAGGGGCTGACTTTTCCCAGTGGGGCCAACGAAACGGTGCCCCTGGAAGTCTGCTGAATTGGTTCTTTGGTCTGCTCCGTGGCGGTTCGGACCTAGACCTCTCAGGGCTCCCGATGTTTTGGGGGACCAGATGTGTTTTCCGGCCGTTTCTGGGAAGACGAGTAGTTTCCGGGCCGTTTCGAGTATCGGGCTGGATCGGATGCGAGGCCAGCTGGCAGCCAGCAGAGTGGACTGAAAAATACTCACACTCGCAGCTGAAAAAGTAAACAAAACACACACGCGTATACATGCGTCACGTGTTGGGGAGGATCATGAAAAAGTGTCCTTCCAGCTCTTGAGCATTCTTGAGCCCTCACTGGCGAGAATCACATCACCAATGGCTCCGCACTGACCACGACCATAAGGAGGGGGGGCGGCCCCCCCCCGTGGTAGGTCCTTGGACCACAGAGTTGGTGCACTTGTGCAGGGCCAGGCCGCGAGGTCGGCCGCTCGTCCCGGTGCTTCCAGTTTGCCTCCGAGGGCCCCCCTGGTTCCTTACGACTGATGGCTGCCTGGGCGATCCATTGGGCCAGTTGGGCGAGTCGGAGCTGGTGAGGTGGAGGAGCGGCCCGAAACACCAAAAAACCACCGAAAAACCCAAGGATCTGATCGATGGTGGAACAGAAGCCTGGCGAACAAGCAAACTCTCCCATGTCTTGCTGTTGTGTTTAATCGTTCGATTTTGCGAGAGAGCAAAACATCTGGATCCCAAGCAGTTTGCTTCACATGCTTCTCTCTGGAACAATCACTTTCGTCACTTTCTGCCAAGTACCTCAACTGCCCTTTTTTCTCCAGAATATCTCCGGGCCTCCAAAGGGTTTGCTGGCCCTTTCGTACAAACCGAAGATGATTCACTTGACCAACCAGCCGTGGCCGTGTCCCGCGTCCCGGCTTCATTTTGCGCGATGGCCGTGGCTCCTCTGGCAGTGACGATTTCATCACCCGATGCTTCTCAGTACCTGCTGGGTTGCCACGGTCGAGGCCTCGAGGGACCTGTGTGGGAGGACCAATTGGAAGAGGTTGAAGAGGTTGAAACGAACATTGGAAGTTGCCTCAGTCAGAATGTGTTCTTCTTTCAGAATGTTTCTGTTCACATCCCCTCAACAATCGAACCAGCAATTGGAACTAAAGTGGATTGGGGGGCCCCCAACATTCAAGAGGCCGCAAGCCTGAGGCATCGCCTGAGACATCGCCCTGATATTTCAGACCAGCGACACAGCAGAACAGCAAAGAAAAACAAGAAACAGCAACAAAACCAATGAACTCATTCTTCAGGACTTCCTCTCGAGGATCCCCACTGACCCCCCACCGGGCAAAGAGACGACCCACCCCAAAGCCTCTCCATGCGTCTTCATGTTGCTACACAGTCATCACACGCCGCTTGGTCTTGCCTACCCAGGCTTGGAAAAAAGAACATCCTCAAAAACCTGCATGTGCATTGGTGAAGTATATAGAATAGACCCCGCTGCGACAGACATGTCAAACCCCAAGTCATCAAAAGCTCCGACGGGACGGGACCACCCACATCGCACCACCACATCGGTGCACCACGGGGCATCGCACCCAAACGGGTGCACCGAAGAGGCGCCGGGGCGAAGATTCGGAAGTGATGAAGCACTTGGATCAGGGTCCCAAGAGAGGTGGAACGTGACCAGGTCACTAGGACCCGGATAGTCTAGTTCGGGTTCTTCAACCTGTGGTGGTCTTCTCTTGAATAAGAATATACCAGGACCCTCCGTTTGAGGGTGTCTACAAGTGTAGACTCTGAAGGAGGTTCAGAGGTGTCGCTATTCTTTCATGAGGAGCATTGTTGGATCATTTCTTCGTCGGAATCTTCTGGGCTCCACGGGGTCGTCATCGCGAGGATCCGAAGCCCACAACCCTTTCCGCGAGAAGGTGTCCCTTTCGAAGCATATTGTTGAGAAGGTCCACTCACACCACGGGTATTGCAATCACATGGTTTTCTAGTTCCCAAAAAGAAAAGAGGAAATCCCCGATCCTCCAAAATCCCCCGATCCGGCCACCCCCTCCACTCCGCCTCACCGTGCAGGAGGTCAAAACGCTCCTGTCGCGCATGCCCAGCACCTGCATTGGCACCTGCATTGGCACCTGCATTCCGGTCGCTCCACAGGCGACAACAGGCGCAATCTTGGGACATAGTCCAGTTCAAAACACGACCTGTTCTGCAATCCAGTTCACAAACCATCCGACCTTAGACCTTCGGCAAGGTCGGTTCTACGTTCTGAACCGGTCGTGCATCTTCCCTCTTTTGAAGGCTCGAGGAAAAACCAGATTTGGTGCTTCAAAACGTTCAGGATCTGTGTACTAAACCTGGCTGCTTACGGAAGAACATGTTTTAACTACAGTAGTTGAACAGAAGAAATCCATTCAAGAAGTGGCCCTTTAGCCGGCGCAGCCAACATCCCCAAAAATCCCCAACACACTTCAGTCAGCCACCTTTGGTCCCACGCCGCCGAGCTCGCGTGACCGGCGCGACCGCGGTGTCCACCGCGGCGCCCCCCCGCGGTGTCCGCCGGGGTGTCCCCCACGGTGCCCGGCAGGCAGGTGTCACCGGACACCGTGCCACACGGCACCAGGACCATGAAGCCGCAAGCACCATAGGGCATCGGCATGGGCATCGGCATGTGTTGCACCGCTTTGCTCTTCAAGTCGAAGCACGTGACCCCTGCAGGCCCAGACAGAAGCAAACGATAGTCCAAGAACTGCAGCGACTGGGAGAGTTCAGAGCCCACCAGCAAGTCCTCACAGGTGTACAGCACTCGTCCCACAATGGGATCCACCAATTGGAGACGCGGCTTTCCATCCACCACCAGTTGCGCTCCCAGCGAGCCGTCTGGGCTCAAGGTGGACAAAAGCAAGGTCGCCCCGTCACGCGACGGGCCACTCGGGCCACTCGGGCCCGCGCCGCCCTCGACGTCGCCGTCGCCCACGCGCGCCGGGCCCTGGACGTGGCTGGAACCGCCCAAGGCGTGGGAAGTGAAGGTTCTCTCCTCCCACGCTGCGATGGTGCCCACGCGTTGCGAGTCTTCCACCTGGGCGGGGGGTCAACGGTTCGGCCCGGTCTTCAATGCTGAAAATAGATACGTGATGAGACGTGAACATGAAACCTCATCAAGATAGGTAAAGCAGGGAGTTCTTCATGTTCTTCTTTAGCTCTGACACATCATGAAAGGCTTGGGCGACACAACCACCGCACCTGTGTCTCCAGGCGGGCAACGTAGCGTTGAAGATCTTTTAAGAGCTTCTCAACCTGAGTGTGAGGGCCAATCGACGGCCCACGCCCATCGATCCAAGCAGTAACTTCCTGCTCCTCTCCAGAAGGCACCAGCCTGGAGAAGAGGTGCTTTTTGAGATTCTCCGGCACCTGTATCTGACGAGCTTTGGGGATCTCCTTCTGACAGCGGAGACATTTGAGCACCAAATCTGCCACCTCCAGCTCTTTCTTGCTTCTCTTGCTCTGAGGAAGGACCGGAAACCCTTGTGCTTCACTCACGCATGGGCCTATGTCTTTCAAAGCATCTGGCATATGATCTTCCACATCTTTTGCTACTTTCGGCTTCATGTCTTTCGCCACTGCTTTCGGCTTCACCTCTTTCGCCACTGCTTTCGGCTTCACCTCTTTCGCCACTGCTTTCGGCTTCACCTCTGTCGCTGCTGCTTTGGCTTTGGGACTTGGGCTCCTAGGCCTCCCCGAAGACGGTGCGACCGCCGCCATCCCCGCTGGCGGAATCTCCTCGATGTCCTCCAACACAAAGCGGTACTCCACCCGCCCAAAGGACGCGCGCCGTCCGGTCGCTGCACCACGCCCAGCCTCCGTCGCCTCCGCCCAGCGGCCCACCGACAGCGAGCGTCCACGCGAGTGGCTGCGCGCGTCACGCGAGAGGCTCCGTGCCGAGGGGGCGCAGGTGGGGCCCCACTGTCGCGGCTGAAAGGTGGGTTTCTGCAAGGGGCGCAAGAGCTGCACCTGCAGACCACCAGTGCCGGTGGTGAAAGCATCTCCATGGTGGGCGTCAGTGAAGGCGATAGGAACTGACACAGGGCTCTTCTCATGCAAATGACCAAATTTTTTCAAGATGTGGGCATACTTCCGCAGCACGAAAAGGCGGCGATTCGAGAGGGAGTAGAGTTGTTTGCCTTTCTTCACCAGCTGAAGTGGAGGCAAAGCTGAGAGCTTCAAATTGCCTGTCAGGAGTTCGACCACGGTTTCGAAGATGCTCCGACCATCTTTGAAATGGTCATAGATCGCATTGTGCGTCCATCTCACTTGGTGAATGTCCACCAAAGCCAAGCTTTCCGTCATGGCTTCTGCAAAACCCAGATTTGATCGCTCGGATGGCTCACATGGCTCCGGCGCCGACCTGAGGCACTCGGATGTGCCAGGCTTGAGCCTGGCTCACATCGGCCCTCCCTTGCGGTTTTTTTGGAAAAAAGAACTTTGGCATTCTGAACGCAAGCTCTCTGTGCAAACATCTGCGAGCAAACTGGAGGCTCACTTTCCCTTGTTGATCAATTCAAAGGGTCTTTCTGGCTTCTGATCCCCTTGAAAGAGTTTCCCCTCTAGTTGGTTGGTGCCCAACTCCTCAACAGCTGAGCTTACCCACTGTGATTCCTCCGGCGGTTCCAGGTGTCACCACCTCAAAGGACAATGACAACCTCGTGCAGACTCTTGACTAATAGTGACTAATAATGACTAATAAACCCAATTTGGAATCACGAAACAATCAACACGCGATTGGTCAGAACTGCTCAACCCCCCATCGTTACCACCCCGCTTCACCGTGTCCACGCCGCCCGGGCCGTTCCACCTCAGTCTTCCGAAGGTGGCCGCAGTACATCAAGCACACGCGTAGCACCTCTCGCGCACGAACGAAAAGACTCCCCCCTTCGACTTGGTGTCCTCACAAACCTCCTGCACACGGTCAGCGAGCGAAGAGCCGATTGGATCGGTCGGAGGACCTGACTGGAAAACCGTGGCGAGCTCCCGCCGTTCGCTGGTCACGGTCACCGTTCACCCGGTGCGCGGCTGGTCACCGTTCAGTCTGTTGGGGTCGGCCGAGGTCCGGAACCATGAAACGATATAACAAAGAGTAGACATGCCAAGAACCAGGACCTTCAGTACGTGACCTCTTTGGAGGCTGAAACACAGTGACCTCTTCAGGGACGATGGACTGTGACGCGACCCACCACTGGGATCTCAAGGACGGTCGAAGGTCCTGAAGGTCCTGGAAGAAAGAAGCTTTTTCAGTGATTGGTCCCCACGTTGCACGCACCGACGCGCCGTAAAGCCTCTGGTGGTGTGGAGTGGTAGAGTCATGTCCCGTTCGCTGAGCCGAACGGCCCGGGTGGCCGGGGGCGACGGAACGAACGAGCTGGGGACGAACGGGCGGTCAGCACAGTGGTACAGTAGAACCAATTCGAAACATGGGTCTCTCTACCGGACCGTCCAAACGGGTGCTTCTTGGACACCCCAGCGGCCGCATCTCTCAGGCCGGCAGCGCTTGGAGGGTCCTGGTAGTCGCATCTCACGCACATGTCCGTTCTATCTGCGTTCAGCATTCAATGATTGAAACTTGGGTAGCATATCACCTGCACTGCCAGCTGTCCTTCAAAAAAACAGCACGGCTTCCAGTGCCATAGATGGGCGAGGAGGTGACGTTCCAAAGGTCTTGGAAGGAAGAGAATTCTAAAGTCAGCCGCTGAGGGATACACCGATACACCCCAAGAAGTAGACGTCTGAAAGGAAGTCACATGGAAGACCCACGACCCTCAGGGCACTTGACCTGACGTCCGTGTTGCCAACGTGCAAACGACAAATCAGCTACGCAGAGCCCTCCGTCAAAAGGCTCTGCCAAACAACATGAAAATTTGACAAATGATGGACCGACTGACAAAACATAGCTGCAACATAGCAACCGCCAATGGCTCAAATGATTCGAAAGGGAGCGACATGAAGGAAGAAAAATGGTACGAAATATAACTGCTATCACTTCTGTAACATTGTGGTCACATGAAAAGAGAGTCGCAAGGCACGCGGCCTGTCGAAAGCCTAGACCCTCCATGCCCCTCCCACCTCCAAATCTCTTCAGCCAATGTTAATGTTGCAAACCACTGCGGATCATAGCCTTAGGCAGCTTCATCTTCGATATGGTCATGGGCAGCTGCTCAACTTTTGCAAAAACTCCAATGATGAACAACACATCATTTTGCATGGTTCGGGGTAGCTGAGGCTGGCTGGCTGGCTGGCTGGAAGCATGTCTGCGGCGGGTCACGAATGGCGCGTGCCTCAACAAGTGCCTCACCAAGTCAGTGAACTTTGACCTGAAGCATTATCTGGGTCCCCTACATACTTGTCATATCGTTTCATATTTAAGTATTTTTAGGATTTAGGTACAGTAAGTTGCTTTCGTGTCGTTACAGCTACTTTGGACAAGGTCACAGCCCACCTTCCACTCCCGCCCTCCTCCACCCCACATACCCATAAGTCCATGACCAAACAAGTTCCAGCTGTAACCTAAAACAGGTCTTCTGGACAAAGAACGTTCATCATCTGAAAAAGAAAAAACAACCAATAATAAACATAGACCTCAAACTTCAAAATAGGCCCAGTCACTGATCCGACATTTATCCCTGACAATGAATCTATTCAGTCCTGACCATTCAGGCCCCCCCACCGCTCCGGACCCGGTGCCCGGTGTCCACAGAGCACCCGGACCCGACGAAAGACGAGAGACCCGGCGCCGGGTCTCTGCGGCCCCTGCGGCGCCTGGCGAGTTTGAAAAAGAAGTGGTTGAAAAGCGTTAGGTTTCGCCGGGTTAAGCCCTCATTCTTTTGTGCACAGGTCTCCACTGGTGGCCTTTTTGAAGACCCCCCCGCCGAATCTCTTTTCACCCCTCTGTCCATCGCACCGTAGGACCTCACAAACGCCCTACATGCGGTCTTCTACCCCGCCTGATCGCTTCAGGCCCGCACCATTCGGATGGCCACAGCAAGAGCGCTCCGCAGGTACATACGAGCAACCCTTTTTCGTGTTGCTCCTGTTTGCACGGAATCTGGTCCAACATGCTACGGAAGATGGTCGCAGCCTTGACTAGGTGCGTGACTGGACTTTCCGGGGCGCTGAAGTTGGCGTATTAGCTATGCTGCATGCAGGTTGGAGGGCAGCTTTTGAGGACTTTGACTTGGTAACCGGGGAAGAATCTCATTGTGGCCACATAGGAAAAAAACGCCAAATGGTAGTAGAGAATGGATCGCATGCCATGAGAACCTAGCTGATTTTGGCGGAAACTCGGACTGCAATCTCTCGACTAAGAGGAGAACTCCCAGCAACTGACCGAAAATACACTGATAGAACCCACCAACGCATGCACACATGGCTGTGCCATCCACTCCCATGGAACAATTTTTGGAGGCAAGCACATGACTCACATGACTCAAGCACGCCTGCGACAGAGATCCATAGACCAAGGTGTAGTTGTTGAAGTACCATCGGATGAGGACAGGAGTTCCAGCGAGTGGGTCTTCTTGAACTAGTTTGATCTGCTTCACCGGAACCTGAAAGGCGCCAGGAGGCCGAAAAACAACGAAAACTCTCCAACACGGACAACAGCATCCCTGCAGCTTGTCAGTCCAAAGCCCTTCTGCCAAGTCACCAATTCGTGTCGCCTCTCACTTTGGTAGTGTGCAAAGTCTGGCTCTCCCAGGATTCTTTCAAGCAGCATCCTCCGTGCCGAGAAGGCATCCGCGAAGGCGTCCATCCCGTCTCCGGTCGCCTCGGGTCTCTCGTCTCCCGTCGCGCGGCTCCAAGCGTCGCGTGGGAGTCCGAGCTCCCGGAGCTTCTGGAGCACCACCCCCGAAGGGTTGTATGCACAGTTCAAGCGAATGGTTCGTAGCAGTTGCTCCTGCACTTCAGGCGGAGAACCTGCGTTGCCTTTTCATTGAGCTCATGGTCGATGAGAAACTGTTCCAGGGCCGGGTTGGATCGCTCCGGAACCCTGCGGCTGGGTGGGGTGCGAGTGCGACTCCGCCGTCGAGCTGTTTGAAGCCTCCTCCCCCCTCGTTGTCCGCGAAGGCGACCGAGCAGGAGATCGCGCCGGATTCCGCCCTGTGGCTCCTCCGGCGTGACGTCTGTCGTTACTGTCCTTAAAACATGACGCCCAAGAGACCCACCGGGTCGTCACACTGAGAACCCACGTCGGGTTGTAGAGAAAACATGGTCGTCCCAAGGTCCATGCCAAGCCCGGTTCCATGTGGGTCTCTTCCCGCAGGTGTATATATCCCTGTTCAATAACGTTGAACATCCGTCAAGTCGGGAGCCACATGAAAAGTGAAGGAGATCCTCAAAATCAGCATTCCAGGAGATTCCAGGACACTTCCCTACCTTCGATGAGTGCTATAGTCACTACATGTCACGTCGCAGTCTTACCTTCTGAACATGTCCGAGTTCCATGAGTCAGATTCCTTTTGACTGCAAATGATTTCATCTTCACTCAAAACCTCGCTCCTCCACCTCCTCCCCAGGTCCTTGTGCCGTCTCTTCTTTCGTGTTCCCACCATGCGCCATCCCAGCGGCCAGGAGCAGCGGCCTCAGCGGACGCCAAGGCCTCAGCACCCACGTCGCCCAGCTCGTTGTTCCGCAAGTTCAGGAGTGAGACAGAAGTTCCAAGTCTGCTTTGAAGACTGCTTTGGGGCAACAAATAATGGTGACAGTTAGATGCATCATTACATTTATATGTATGAAACATCAGCATACATCAACAAACCATGCATCATCCAATGTTCAACAGCTGGCGTTGAATGCTGAACTGCCAACACCTGTTGTGTTGGGTAGAAAGCTCGTGTTCCACTTTGTGAAACTTGACCCCTTGCATCTGTGCTTCCCAACCTCCATCCCCAGCCTCTGCAGCGCGCCCGCCACGGAGGCAATGCCAGCATCAGTTAGCTTTGTACAGGCCTTATCCAGCAGTGGTGTTGAACGGGTGAATTGTGGGAACTACACTCCCGAAAACTAACATGGACCCTGAGAATGGCACCCTCAAAACCAGTTGTTCCTCTACAAACCAGTGGTTTTCAGGGTCTATGTTAGTTTTCAGTGGGGTGGGGGGGTGAGTTAAAAACCTGTGGCCAAAACATGGACAATGGACATGTCACGTGGACCCCACTTGCTAAACTTAACGGAAAAGCAAACCCAACTCCAAAGTCCTTCTACCAATTGCACACTCACACACACAGTGGGGATGTCACTACGAAACTAAGGTGAAACAAACAATTCTGGTAGTTGTAAACTCACTTCCAAGTGAGAATCATTCCCCTGTTAAACGATCGCAGACCTGAATTCGCGCTGTTTGAGCCAGAATTCGGCTCAATTCCATTCCCGAAGACTTTGATGCGGTCGCCCAGCGCGAGCAAGCCTGGCGAATCACCCAACGGGACCCTCGGACGCGAATCACGGAAGACCTCACCACGGATTTGTGAAACCAAAGGGAGTGTGATGCTGTGATGCAGCCACTGTCAGTGGTCTGGATGCTCAGTCTTCTACCCATTTAGTCCTTCTGCGTCCAGAGACTGTCCTGGGGTGTGCAAACCAAGAATTCCCTGATGCTTTAGAGGACCTTGGCACACAGCCTGTTCAAAAGATATCTGTGTACTTCTTGCTACAGCACGTACAAAAACGGAATGCATAAACCAACTAAAACATCACATGGTTCTTCCCAGGACGATCCATTCTCCTTTCTCATGAGACCCTTGGTCCCTTCCGGACGGGCGGCACCTCTGAGCACCTTTGCGGCCCAAGTCTTGACCTTGGAGGTCCAAGGTTTCTTGCTCCTCCGCCAAGGCCAGCGACATGGCGGGCTCTCGGGCGGAGGAGCTCGGGGGAGTGGATGGACCAACATCTTCGCAGCATGTATCTGTTAGTTGAAGGCTGGTTGACAGGTTGTTGCAACACATGTATATATATATGTATAGTAGATCCAGTCTTTGGATTTTGATGTTCATGTTCATGATTCATGAGTGCAAAGAAGTGCAAATGTTCATGAACCACGTGACCATCTCCTACATTCGCCTACTTCTGCTCCCAAGCCCCTGGCTGTACCGCCTGGTGGCTGTGTTTTTTCATCCTCCGGTGGCTTGGTTTATCAACAAACATCATTGGTGCCTCTACTATTCTGACTATTCCCATAGCCGATCATCTATTATTGAATATTGTGCCATTCTCATAGATCATAGACGTTATATCTAGTCGATCAGCTGAATCAGCTGTGACATTTACTCATCGGTCCTATGACATTTGGACCCTGCCTGTGGCGCACTGCCAGTGCTACCATAACGAGCCGACAATGGTTAGCGTGGACAACCACGGCATCTGACACCAAAAGCATTGGTCGGACAAAGAATGAAAAAGCGTTCTAGCGGTGCAGCTTGGCAAATCGGATTGGGAGCACATGTTGGATTTGAATTCAGAGCTCTCCAAATGTGGCTGGAGAAAAAAGAGCTCAAACGCAGCAAACCATTCCTGTGGGACACGCTTGTGGGGCAGTCTTGAAACACGCTCTTGTGGAAAACTCTTGTGGGATACTCTCGTGCGACACTTTTGTGGGACACTCTTATGATGTTGTTGGAGACTCTTGTGGGACACGCACTTCGTGGAAAATTTGTGTGGAATACTATTGATTCTTTTGCATCGACGTATTTGAGGAACTTGATTTTGGGAGTTTTCGGGGTTTCTCCGCCCAGCAATCAGCTGATGGAGGATCTCCTGGACAAGCACAGGGGTAATTCAGCGATGTTCGACCGCAATAGCAGAGCCCACCGGGCACGGGTGGTTTGCTTCGCCACGGGCCATCAAGCCAGGCTGTGCGTCTCTTTTACGGGCTTGCTGCTTTGCCCTAGAGATTCTCTGATGAAGCGCTTCTACAAAATACGAGCCGTTTGCTTGTTGGACACTATTGTGGGACACCTTTGTGGGACGCTCTTGCGGGACACTCTTGACGGAAAAACTCGTAGGACCCGTCGAGTAGAACACACTCTTGCGCCACTCTTGTGGAAGACTCTTGTTGGCTCTTACCGAGGCCTCGCAAAACCGCATGGCACAGCGACATCACAAACGTACTCAGGGCACTCCACGGACTAGACACACCAGTGAAACACCAAGCATCGATGGCACCACCAATCATCCCGTTCCCCAGCAACACGCCGTCTTTACACCAGCATTTTTGCCCGGTTTCCTAATGGCACAGACTCATGCAATCCCACTTTCGTGCCGCGAAACCGCATGGCACAGAGACATCACAGACATCATTTCGCCAGGCAGTGTGCGACAGACTAGTTGCAAGAATGTAAAACAATAACACCAAGACTTGTGGGCACCGCCAACCATCCCACATTACGCCGCGTTTGCACCAGCATGCTTCCTTTCCGCCAATGGCGCAGGCTCGCGCAAGCGATTTTTTGCACCGAGACCGTGCAAAAAAGAACGCATGGCACAGTGACGTCACGGACGTCGTTCTGCCACACCCGACACTAAATTTGCACTTTTAAAACGCACCTTCCCGCACTACATGTGCACTACCAAGTTGCCAGTTCTGAGGCCACAGCTCCGATGTTGGGCAGTGCCCACTTTTGAACCCACACGCTACAGCGGTACAAGTGATAAGAACAAATACTACACAACTATATGCACATGTCAGTCACCTAGAAAGCTCTAACACGCCGCCTTAAAATTCTGGCGTAGCAAGCCGAACCGTACACGTTTTTATGCAGCGCTCTGTTTTGGACCCACACACTACAGCGGTATAACTGATATGAACAGATACTACACTTGAGTAGGTTCACAAAGTTTAACACGCCGCCTCAAAATTGCGACGTTTCTGAGTCGAATTTTGTCATCCGACAACAAGGATCGCATCAGCTATGCGACTAAGATTAAGGCCCCTTGTTGCCTTCCTTGCAGTGTACTCTTTGTACATGCTGTTCCGGTACTTTCAGTACAATTTCTACAAAAAGGTTTCATGATTTCTCAACCGCACCAAAGTGAGTGCTTCGCAGTGTCCAGCAATAACGTATGCAAATGTAAGGTTGGTTCAGCTGGTCCAACCTTACACCGAAATTGAACATTCCATCAACAAAATAAATTCAATGCTCTCCGGAACGTGGTTCAGATGGCGCACGCTCCGGTTGCAACTCTTCTTCTCCTTCTTCACCAGGATCTGTCAATCCTGTGTAGCTGCCGCCTTCATTGCTGCTGCTACTACTGCTAGTTTCTTCTCCATAGTGCAATCCAGAAACTTCCTCCATAGGATCATCCATATATTTTCTATATCGTTCAGCTCCTGTCTCAACATCCATTTTTTTCGTCTTCGCTTTCCTCTTCGCCAGCTGCATTCGGTCCAATCTCAGGCTCATTCCTGTTTGGGATTGCCGACGAAGATGATGCTCTGCCCTCTCCTTCAACACTTCTTCCAGGAACACGGTTTGGTGGGCAATAACCATGTTCTGATCGTTCACTTTCTGTATCCGGTAGGTCTCTTGGGATCGCATCGATTCCATCCCAATTGATGTCCGGTGATTTGTTTCTGCGGGAAATGTCGGTCATGTTGAAACAAAAATCATGTACTTTTTGCCGCGTTGCTTCGCTTTGATCTAGCTGCAATGTTGCTGACATTGGTCCCAAAATACTCCTTCGTTGCTCATACTTTCGACGTCTTGTTGGGGTCATCTCTTCATTTTCCACGCGAGCTAAAACTCTTGATAGCATTCAGTAAATAAACCACTCTGGGCTCCAAACACTCCATCGTTCTTGAAGCGTTTCAGGTCGGGCTGGAAATCTTGGTGGAACCGGTACATCTCTTGTTCGGCAGTACTGTGAGTGAGATAGTTTTTGAGTGGCCCTTGTGAAACAAAAGTAAGCAGGATGTCATCGTAGATAGCCTGTGCAAGGGACTCTTTATCAAACATTGCGAAATGGCAAAAATGCAATAAAATGCAAAGTCAAGCGAAAAGGGGGTAACCGAGGCCACTGTGTTGCTCAAAAGGTAAGCTTGGACAAAACTGACACGGATAGATGACCACGTAGGCCTACCTAGTGAGACCAAAACCACTGAAGACAGTAACTGAGGTTACTGCTTAGTGGAGACCAACGAAGACTATGCGAAAAACTCAAGACAGTATCTGAGGATACCGCAAGAGCAAAACTGGCAAAGCGGCGGTAACAACTCAAGACAGTATCCAAGTAGTTCCCGGGCAAGCCGGCGGCGGAAGTTTCCTATAAGAAGAAATTGACCTATAGGAGTGTCCACGTTTTAAGTCTTCATCCTTGGGCCGCCTACGCTCACAAGTTACCGAGAAC